CATGTTGTAAGGAGAGACCGGTCCTTGGAGTAGGACATCAAGCTTGGGAGGGTGGAGGGCAGCTGCGGGAGGGGAAGGCTTTCTGGGAGGTGGATTGATTCGGTGACTGGGGCAATCAGGATGAGTGTGTCAGAGACAATGAGATTGGCACAGGACAGAGCAGAGTTTAGAGCTGTTGTACATAGGGTCGCTATGAGTCGCAAGCCACTCGATGGCACATAACAACAACATAATGTAATATATACTGATTTTAGGTTATTGACTTTTAAAGGGACACCTGCAGGAGAATCACCTGGTGGTCCTGCTAAAATGTTCATTCCTGACTCCACCACAGACCTATTAAAATATCTGGGATGGGATGTGAAGTCTTTTGGGATAGGGGCTGGTTTGAGGAGAAGCAGGAGAATTGGAGACAGTGCAAGGAGAGCCAGGAGGAGAGATTCTGAGATAGGGAGAAAGATAGACAGTAAACAGATAAGAATGTGAGCTATGAATTACCTGGGGTCTAGCTCTAGAACATATTTTGTAGACATTGGTGTCTGATCCTACCGGGAACAACCTGTAATTAAACAAGTTTTAGTTTATTTGTTATTTTTGAGTAGTTCTTTTAGAATCTGTTAGGTACAAATTTGTACATGGATAACCTGTTGGGCTACTAACCAAAGGTCATCATATAAACTCACCAGCTGCTCTGTAGAAGAAAGATGAAGCAGTATGCTCATAAGTCAGAACTGAATGGAAGGCAGTGGTTACTATAGACAGGTATACTTCAGAGTTAATTTTGTATTGTAGAAAACGCGAGAGCCTATAAGGCAGTTGCATGGGCCTAAAACCTTTTGCTTGCAAGTACTTGGAATTTGGGATGTTAAATTGCTAAGTCTATCTCTCTGTTCCTACCACAAAAACTAAGAGGGATAAAACATGGGCTCAATCTCTCTGTGTCGTTAATGCACTATTATTGTTCTAAGAACTTTACACATGATAACATGCATTTAGTCTTCACAATATAATGAAATTATAATTTTCATTTATAAATGAAAAGGTTTAGGGGTATGCCCAAGGTCACACAGTCAGTAAATACCTGAACAGGCACGTAGGCAGTAGGCCACAGGCTCTAATTGTAAAGGTAAAAGGTGTGACTGACTTTAGGTCATGCTGAGTATCCATTATAGGTGTATTAGAGCTTAGAATCTGAAGCACTTGGCTTGTAGAAGGTTGAGGTGTACACTGGAGCCCTAAGTCCATTTGGGTTCTCCATATAGGTTCAGAGATTGTGAGATTGTTCACAGCTTTTGTTTAGCTCCACAATCAATACTCTTGGCACCAGCAGCCAGGAAATTAAAAGACGTGTTGCCATGGGAAAGTCTGCAGTTAGAGACCTCTCCAAAGTACTGAAGAGCAACAATGTCAGTCTGGAGACTCAGTTGCACCTTATACAGGCCATGGTCTTTGCAATTACTTGCTATGTATCAGAGAGCTGGACAATGACTAGGGAGGATAGAAGGAGAATTGATGCCTTTGAGGTGTGGTGTTGGAGAAGAGTATGGAATATACCATGGACTGCTAAGAGAACAAACAGGTTTGTCCTGGAAAAGGTGAAGCTGGGATGCTCCTTGGAGGCAAGGATTCTGAGGCTTTGTCTGACATACTTTGGGCAAGTTGCAAGAAGGGACCAGTCCTTGGAGAGTGACGTCATGCTTGGGAGGTTTGAGGGACAGCACAGAAGAGGAAGACCTTCTATGAGGTGGATTGATTCTGTGACTGGGGTAATGGGGGTAGGTGTGTCAGTGACAATGAGATTGGCACAGGATAGAGCAGGGTTTAGGGTGGTTGTACATAGGGTCACTATGAGTTGCAGGCGACTCGACAGCACATAACAACAACATACAGGTTCAGATGTCATTCAGTTCTTTCTGAACAGTAAATCAAGTGGCATTGCCATCAGAGAGTTCAATTGTTTTTAGCTGCTTTCAAGTTGACTCCAACTCATTGAAACCTTGTGAATAGTTCTGTGGTCAGAATGTTGTCCTATCCTCTACCATCCTCATGGTTCTTGTCATGTTCAAGTACATTATTATAATCCCTGTGTCTATACGTCTCGTTGAGGGTCTTTCTCTCTTTTACTGACTTTATTCATAATTTGTTCGGCTAAGATTAGTAGCCGACCAGTTATAAGAAGTGCAGAGTTAGGGAGCTCTGGTGGCCTAGTGGCAAGAATCTGCACTGCAATCCCAGATGTGCCTGGTTCGAATCCACCAGATGCTCTGCTGGAGAAGGAGGGACAATCTCCTCCTGTACCAGTCAGATCTGATTTGACAGTACAATGCACAAAAAATAATAAAATAAATAAAAAATTTAAAAAATAAGTGCAGAGTTGACATTGTCTCTCCTTCATTCATTTCCCTTACTCCTCTGTCCCCTGGGTTTAGTGGTCTATTGGAAGGTCTCCCAGAGATCCACAGATGTCTGGGTAATGACTCAGGTGATTGTAGGTATGCAGGCCGGTTTTGCAGAAACTAGTGAGTGTTGTACTATCAGTTTCAGTGTAGCTGGAAAGATGGGCATACTTCAGGATCTGAGGTTACATGAGGTTATAAAAGCCTATAGGAGTAAGAAACTGTGCTGCTATCTCAAAGGCATGAGGTTCAAATATATCAGCTGCTCCTGTGGGAGAAGGATGGACGACCTCCACCTGTACAATTTATTGCCTCTGAAAACCCCTAGGAAGGTCATCTATGGGTTCAATTCCACTTGAGGTACACAACAACAGGGTGGGGCTTGGATCCTTCTCTAATTTTCTCTCCTTGAGAGGATTAGATAAATGCAATAAATACTTTAGCACAAAATAAATAATCATTGGCTATGAAATAAACCTTTGACACCACACTCACCTTCTACCTTTCCCAACCTGATGTCTTTTTTCAAGGACTGATTACCCCTGATAACATGTCCAATGTATGTAAAACTATTTTCACCTCTAAGGAGGATCTGGTTGCCCTTAGGTTATATGTAGAGAACCAGAAAACATACCTGGGTATGTTCTTACTGATCCCAACCTTAACTAGGTGATGGGAATCCCAGAACCAAGGCTGTAAGGTTTTTACATTTGAAATCGAGTCTGTTTCCCAAAAATGATCTTTTGCTTGCTTCAGTGGTCCCGTCTTAAATGGTGGTCTGGATCTTATAAATGATACCTGTGACCATGTCTCAGAGGAATACCTTTCCATACTATGCTGATGGTTTCTCTAATTCTGGAATGCTCGTCTTTGTGTATACTACATGCTAGTGGCAAGAAGTTACACTGTGAAAAAAAAAGTAACACTGTAGTAGTAAAGGCATGAGGCTCAAATTCACCAGATGTTCTGAGAGAGAAGGATGGGAAATCTCCTCTAGTTGGATTTACTTCCTCTGAAAACCTACTGGAGGATCAAATGAGTCCGTTCTCACTCAATGGTACACAACAACAACCAAACCACATGCTATAGATGAATAACCCCTAAAGCTGAGAACATATATGAGTATGTGAGATAGTTACAAGATAAGATAAGTAAATATTCGAATTTCTATGGTTAGGGGGTTATAAGGGGGAAAAAGCATGACTTTTTTATGCTTTATGGAATTAATACCGAATATCACATAGACTGCCAAAACAACAAACAGATATGTCTTTGGAAAGTGCAGCCAGAGTGCTCCTTGGGGGCAAAGACGGTGAAACTTTGTCTCTCATATTTTGGACATGTTCTTAGGAGAAGCTATTCCTTGGAAAGGGACTTCGTTCTTGGAAAGGTGGATTAGTGAGAGAGAGGAGACACCCCAGCTAGATGGGTTCATATAGCAATAGATGCAAGTGTGTCAGAGATAATGAAGAGAGCATAGGATGGGACAGGTGCAGGTCTGTTGTACATAGGGTTGCTATGAGCCCTACTTGACCAAATGACACCTAACAACAACAGTAGGTAGAAAGGTTGCACTGCCAGAAGCGCATGATTCAAATCCACCAGCTGCTTTAGGGAAAAAGATAGGCAGTCTCTCCCCATGTAATTTAAATAGAATTTTTATATTATAATATCCATAATTAGGGGAGCTCTCAAGGCCTAGAGGTAAGAAACTGCACTGCAATCCCAAAGACACATTGTTCAAATCCACTGGCTGCTCCCTGGAAGAAGGATGAGCATCTCTTCCCATGGAATTTACAGCCTCTGAAAACCTGCTGGGGGGGGGTGTCAGATATGAGTTGGCTTGAACTCTCCAGCACATAATAACAACAATATCTGTAATTTGTACAGATGTGCATATCGTTTAAAAATAGAGGCAGTCGTCAGAACAGAGCAGGGCAATACTGCATGGTTCAAAATTGGGAAGGGTGTACATCAGGGATGTGTCCTATCTCCATACCTTTTCAACCTGTATGCAAAGCAGATTATCCGAGAGGCTGGGCTCTATGAGGAGAAGCATGGCATTAGGATTGGTGGA